TACATAGGGTTGCTATGAGTCACAAGCGACCCGATGGCACATAACAACAACAAGTAATAAATGTTGGAGAGGATGTGGCGATATAGGTATACAATGTTGGTGGGATTGTAAAATTGTACAAGCACTCTGGAAGGCAGTTTTATGTTTCCTCAAAAAGCTGAACATAAAAATTCCATATGACCCAGCTATTCCACTGCTTGGGATATATCCTGAGAAAATGAGAACTGAGACATAAACAGAGACTTCTACACCAACGTTCATAGCAACATAATTCACCATAGCAAGAACATGGAAACAGCCTAAATGCCCAATCACAATGCAATAGATTGAGAAATTATGGTGCATTCACACAGTGGAGCATGCAGGAGCAATGATACTGTAAATTACTACCTGACATCAGAGGGATTGGAGAGCATTATGCTAAGTGAATTATCTCAGACTCATAAAGACAAATTAAAAAAGGAAAGGGAAAAGATCCAGTGTGAAAACAATGTATACGAACTTTGTGAACTTTGTAAATAAACCAGTATATTTTTTTAAAAAAAATCCAATTAATTTCTTTTTCACCTTTCAAGGTGTGTGTGTGTGTGTGTGTGTGTGTGTGTGTGTGTGTGTGTATTCTGTGCATATTATGTGTCTAAACATACACGTTAGAAACGTCAAAGTCTTGTTTAATAATCGTGTTTTCTTCATTTTATTCCCATAATTCCTGCCATCAGATTCTTTGCTTTCCAGCCAAAGAGACAGTTGAAATGAAGAAGGCATCTTTCATTCCTATTTAGTACCTTATTCAGAGTCAAATGAAATTAATGACAACTCATTAGGTGAGTGACAGTCTGCTTAGTTTCTCAGTGTTCAGGGAAGATAAGTATTAACGAACAAAGATTAGTATTGGCTGTCCTTCAATTAATATATTTACAATCAGAAACAACATAGCAGAGAACATTTTTCTTTCTTTTTTAAGGTATTTTTGTTCTTAATTCTCTTTTCAGAAGAATTAGCCTTCACATTTACACCAAGGATTTATAATTTCTCAAACTAATTTACTAGGAAGTACATGTAAATTATAAGATTGAATTTATTCCAGAGTCAGGTGACTTACCTGTTTGTCAAAAGCAACCCATGATGGCAAATCAGATTCTGTTCCTCTAGGATACAAACTATATTTAGGCTTCAGCTTCTGGCCAAAAAGCGGTTCTCCACCTATTCCAGGTTTCTCATCACTGACCACCATCCCAACGTTGTTACAAAAGCCCCAATGTTGAGATTTGTGGAACTTCTCCTTTCCTACCTATGAACATAAGAAACAACATAAAATGGTCAAGTTATTCTTTATGCCTTTTCTTCTTTGTTCTAAAAATATAAACTCATTATCCCACCACCTATTTTTCCTAGTGGGAAATTAATATAAAGTGTCAAACAATTATGACCAACATTTATACTTAAAACAGTGTTATATTTTAACTTCAATTAATCTATAAACTCAAAAGCTTGAAAAGCAATAAGAATAAATCTAATTTTCATAATATTTGAAAAGTTGAAAAACACTTATTACTGTAATGAACATTTAGAACACTAACTTGCTAAATGGTCTTTTCTCCTTATTTGTCAAGAATGCACAAGGAAAGAAGGAGAAAACTCCCCAATTTTAGAGCAAAAATGTACGGGATTTTTTTTAATGGATCTAACGATCTATCAACAATCTGCGTTATGCAGATGACACAAACCTGCTCGCCGAAACTGAGGAGGACCTTACTGCAGAGGGTCAAGGACTGCAGCCTTCAATATGGACTGAGGCTCAATGTCAAGAAGACAAAAATTCTCACCACTGGACCA